AATCTGTTTTAATAAAATAGTACTTATTAGATAATGTACGGAAATCTTCTTTAACTCCATACCATTTTCCTTTTCCACCATAAAACTCGATTCCGTTTGGTATATTTTTATAAATCAGGATAGTTTTGTTTTGCTTTATACTAGGTCCTATCTCTGGGTCGACTGCCGGCACATTTTCTTCTTTCAGCTGGGCTGGCTGGTGTGTCAGTGGGTTTTCGTCAAATGATATAAGATCGCCTTCAGGAGTCGGTGCTGGATTTTCTACTGGGTTTTCAGCTGGATTTCCTACTGAGACTGGGTTTTGCATTAAACGCAAAGCTGGTAAACATTGACCTTTACGAAGGTTTCCATTTAAATTCATGTGTTTATTAAGATCTCGGGTTTTACCGGTTCTTATTTCTCGATCACAGCCTGGGCATCTGAGTATCTTTGCCATAGTAATATATAATCTGTGTTTTTTATTAATATAACCAGATCTTTTGTTTAAATTAAAATAATTATTTCAGTTATATAAATTTATCGAAATGCTGATAGATTATACATGCAAATATATAGACTCTGGAGAATATACATGTGAATATATACACAACTCTGGAAAAGTTTGTGGACGCAAATGCCAACGTCGTGAAGGATGCTACGAACATTGGAGAGCTAAAAAACATGTTTTATGTAAGGTTTGTGGAAAGCCTACTGCTTCTGCACCGGGAACATGTAAAAAACATTCTAAAGGATATTATGTCATGCAATTTTATGCCCGACAGATGCAAAACATCCTTACTCCGTAAGACTTCAGATTAGAAATCAGCAAGAGCTGACATAAAATTTACACCGAAATTGTCCTAAAAAGTTTGCTATATTTTTTGTTATACTTTCTGCCTTTAGAAAACTAATAGAATGCTAATGCTTCGTTTCACTTCGCATTTACAAAAAATCTATTTGTAAACTAAATAGATATCTATGCTTCGCTACGCTTCACATCCAGAGTCGCTATGCTCCGCTATGCTTTGCATCTGTTTCGCTTTCACCTAAAGGTTCATGCTCACAGTAATAGAATACTAATTAGTAATCAAATAAGATAACTATGCTCCGCTTCGCTCCGCAACTGCGTCGCACACACCTAGGTGTATGCTCCTTAGTGTTAGAAAGCTAATTGTGAACTAAACAGATATCTAATGCTCCGCTACGCTTCGCATCCGGAGTCGCTATGCTCCTCCGCGTCAGAAAGCTAAATAGTAATCAAAAATAGATAACAAAAAATACACTACAATGTGACGTATAGAAAAAAAAAACACACTGCATATAGATTTATATATGTTTATCGGGAATATAGTAAAAAGACTGAAATCTATAGAAAACGAATAGTGTTTTAAAAAATTACACGAAAATTGTCCTAAAAAGCCCACTATTACAATACTCGTCACGAGAGAAGGTATTATTATCTATTTCTGTTTCAAATAATTTTAATTCTGCACACTCAGTTGCAGTATAAAAGTGATGCGATGAGACAGAGATTCTTTTAGGTGGTAAGGTATAAGTAATTCCTTGTAGATTGTCAGGATTAGGAAATTCTAAATAATAAATAGAAGGTTGAGCAGGTGTATTAAAGTCAGAGTCAACAAATCGT